CTGAGCCAGCAGCGGCTCTGCGGGATTGGGGCGAAATCCGGGGAATTTGGGTCAGTTTGGGTCAGTTTGGGGCGAAATCCGGGGATTTTGGGTCAGTTCGGGGGGAAAATGGGGAATTTGGGTCAGTTTGGGGTGAAAATGGGGATTTTGGGTCAGTTTGGGTCAGTTTGGGGTGAAATCCGGGGATTTTGGGTCAGTTTGGGGGGAAAATGGGGATTTTGGATCAGTTTGGGGGGAAAATGGGGGAATTTTGGTCAGTTCGGGGGGAAAATGGGGGATTTGGGTCAGTTTGGGTCAGTTTGGGTCAGTTTGGGGCGAAATCCGAGGATTTTGGGTCAGTTCGGGGGGAAAATGGGGAATTTGGGTCAGTTCGGGGGGAAAATGGGGGATTTGGGTCAGTTTGGGTCAGTTTGGGTCAGTTTGGGGTGAAATCCGGAGAATTTGGGTCAGTTTGGGTCAGTTTGGGGCGAAATCCGGGGATTTTGGGTCAGTTTGGGTCAGTTTGGGTCAGTTTGGGGTGAAAATGGGGATTTTGGGTCAGTTTGGGGTGAAATCCGGGGAATTTGGGGTCAGTTCAGGGGGTTTGGGGGGAATTTGAGAGATTTTGGGTCAGTTTGGGAGGTTTGGGGGGAAATCAGGAGGGTTTGGGTCATTACAGGGGATTTGGGGTAATTTTGGGGTGGTTTGGGGTGTTTTGGGTGATTTTGGGGTGATTTTGGGACATTTAGAGGTGATTTTGGGGTGTTTTGGGTGTTTTTGGGTAATTTTGGGGTGTTTTGGGTGTTTTTGGGGTGATTTGGGGTGTTTTGGGGTGATTTTGGGGTGTTTTGGGGTGTTTTTGGGGTGTTTTGGGTGAATTTGGGTGATTTCAGGGTGTTTTTGGGGGATTTTGGGGTGAATTTGGGGTGTTTTTGGGTGTTTCTGGGGTGTTTTTGGGTGAATTTGGGTGATTTGGGGTGATTTGGGGGTGTTTTGGGGGTGTTTTTGGGTGAATTTGGGTGATTTTGGGGTGTTTTTGGGGTGATTTGGGGTGTTTTTGGGGTGTTTTTGGGTGAATTTGGGTGTTTTTGGGGTGTTTTTGGGGTGTTTTTGGGTGAATTTGGGTGATTTCGGGGTGTTTTTGGGGCTCACCCGTCAGCCGGGGGTGCTCCCGGAGCAGGCAGTGCAGCAGAAACGCCGCCCGAGCCCTCAGGGGGGGCTGGGGGCTCCCCAAAACCTCCCCCAGCACCCCCAGACCCCCCAGAGCCTCCAGCTGCTGCAGCCCCTGCGGCTGCGCCCGCACCAGGCCTGGAAACGGGGGCAGAACGGCCGGAATCGGTTAAAATGGACACAAAAACACACAAAAGTGAGCAAAATCAACCAAAATCCACACAAAAACACACAAAACCACCCAAAATCACACCAAAACCACCCAAAACCAGACAAAATTCACACAAAACTGACCAAAACCAACAAAAATCCACACAAATTCACCCAAAAACACACAAAACTGACCAAAATCACCCCAAAACCACCCAAAATCCCCCGAATTCACCCCAAAACCCCCAGAAATGACCCAAAATCCCCCAAATTCACCCAAAAATCCCCATTTTTACCCCAAATCCCCCGAATTCACCCCAAAATCACTCACAGGAGACGGCGAAGAGCAGCACAGGCGACACTTGGGGGTCGGGGTCCCCCCGGAGCCCCCCCAGCAGCGCCGGCAGCGCCCCCAGGGCCAGCGCCCGGGCCTGGGCTTCCGGAAGGTTCTGGGCACAAGCCCCCAGCGCCCGCGCGGCCCCGGCGCGGAGATTGGGTCTGGGGTCTGCCAGGAGGGGCAGGAGAGCCCCCAGCCCCCCCAGGGAGCAGAAATCTGGGGAGAAAGACCCCAAAATTGGGTCTGGGGTCTGCCAGGAGGGGCAGGAGAGCCCCCAG